AGTTACAGGGTGCAGCTTCAGCTAAACATTGTTTCTTCCCAAAATTCTCTTTAGGAGGGATCTTCTTAGTCATGTGGAACCATCCATAGGCTCTCTGCCTGTCTTTGTTCTGGAATTTCATTGCATCTAGAGCACTAGCTTTTGTGCATGACTTGTCTTGTGAACAGGTGCTTTGTCATTTTTGTAAGTCATTTTATTCTTATACTCACCTTTCATGCATTCATCTAAGTATTTGTTGCATACCCACCATGCACAGGCACAGGAGTATGGATCTTTTGGGGTTACAGTCCATAATACATTCAGTTACTCGAACCCACATTCCCACAGCACCAAGTTGTAAAGTACCTACTCAACCAACACAGGACATAAATAACTCTCAGTACTATAATTACCTTCTGTGAATGGCAATGCCAGCTTTTTGCTGTAAAGCGTTAGGCTTTTCCATGGGTGGGTGTTCCAATAGCCTTAGAGTAAGTTAGCTTTTTCTGGGCAGGCATCAAATGTTTAGTCCCTTGAATCATGGCCAAGGAGATAATATCTCTGAGTCCTTTGATGGGGCAAGAATTCATTGTGTTTGCCTTCTTTTTTTCCAAACAACAATCACATCACCAAGTTTCTATTAATTATTAAATAATATAATAATTATTATAATTATTGATAATATTGATAAATTATTATTTGTAGATCAAAAAACTGAGTCTTAAAGATGTTCAAAATAATTATTGAAATAGTTCAGCATCTTAAATTTTCCCTTATGCTTTTCTTCTGGAATAAGAAAGGCCCTTTCCTGTTTAGCAGTGTGAATCAAAACCCAGTACCGATGAGATGAGTATATTATCACACTCAGCTACACGCATTCCCATAAAGCCAACTACTCTAACAAAAGTGCTAATATGTGGTCTCCCTGTAAGTAAAAGTGTAGTTAAGGACCTTCTTTTGATATGGCTAGGGGTGAAAGAGCAGTTAAGTGTGGGTCAAAAGGTAATGAGATGCATGGGCTAATCAGCCGGGACAATTTCTAAAGCCAGAATTTGCCTTAGACCAAGGACATGGGACAACATGGCATGTTATGTTAAAGTTTATTCCTGGAATAAGAGCATTACCAAACAAGAGCAGTGTCTCAGAGATTATTTGGTTCAAATTGCTTCCTGAAAGAAATAGCTATAGACCATCTTTCGCCAATGAACATCTAGTACTGCCTTAAGATAGGCTACTCACTAACTTACAGGGCTATGCTTTCTCCTGTTGGACAGCTGTGGTGCATTAGTTTTCTATTGCTGCATAACAAACTTAGTGGCTTAAAACAACAGAAATTTATTATCTCACAGTTTCTGTGGGTTAGGAGTCTCATTAGCTGGGTCATTTGCTCAGTGTCTCAAAAAACTGAGATCAAGGTGTCATCTAGGCTGTGTTCCTTCTGGAAATCAAGGGCCTCTTTCAAGATCTCATGTTTATTGGCAGGATTCAGTTGTTTGTAGCTCTGAGATAGAGATGCCCATTCTTCTGCTGGTTGTCAGCCAGAAGTTGCTCTCAGTTCTCAGTTCTTAGAGACAGTCAGAATTCCCACCACACTGAGCCTTCCATCATCAAAGAGGCAATGGAGAAACTCCCTTGGATCAAGCCCCTCTCACACTCTAAATCTCTCTAACTTCAGAAAGGACACAATATCTTTTCTGGCCCACCTGATTAGGTGAGGCCCACCCAGACAATCTCCCTTTTGATGAACTCAGCTGAGTCCAAGTTAATTACATCTGTAAAATCCATTTTGCCACATAGCATAACATAATCACAGGAACTACAGCTTATCGTATTTATGGGTTCCACCACACTCAACTGAAGGGAATTACACAACGGCAGGGTCAATGGAGAGTTGTCATGTTAAATTCTGTCACCACAGAAGGTTAGGAAGTTCTCCCATAATGAAAATAAATCAGGCTGGGCTCTACCAACTTCTACTCTGTTCTCCACATCAACCTCTAACTATTGGAAGACAAGTGCCTTGACTGCTCTTTGGGGAACTATTCCCAATGTCTTTTAAATGATTCTTATTTGTGATATCCAGATATCCCTCTAAATACACTATACTTCTTGTATGAATCTTAGAATTAAATATAACTCCCTAGAGGTTTCCTAAATAGTACAGATTATAACAGGACTATTACTTCTTCTATTATGCAGAACAGACTTCTATTGAGACATCCAAGGACTAATGTTTTGTAGCAATATCATCCTAGCAACTAAAATTCAGCCATAACCAAATAAAGAACTTTAATTGCTTTCTCATGCATAGCTACTAAGCCCAAGTCATTGATATCCCCACCTTCTGTCACCTAGATTGTTATCTCTTTCTCATAATGAGGTGTCAGTTGCAGATTAGATAAGCTTGCCTTCATCCAAGCTGTTAATATAAATGTGACAAAAGACAAGAAAGAGCCAATAGGGCACAATTTTTATTTTCTTATTTAATCCTTTGAGTAGGGTTTGTGTGTGTGTTTTAATGGAAGATGAAGAGTACATGACATTGTTTAAAATAATTTAGACATTCCAAGTTCCTGATTTTTCTTACTAACTCTTCACATACTGTTTTTGTAATTGTAGACCTCAAATGGTTATCACTCCCCAAGTTTAATCAGAGAAAGGGGAAATATTCCCAACCTCAATTTCACCTACTATACACAGTTCTGCATTTTTTAAATTGCACACCATAAGTCCTGACTCCTTGGATGTAAATGAACTCTTTATATTTTCATAGCACTTCCCATATTTCATATGTGGCCCTTGAAAACCTTTTAAGCCAGGAGGGATAAGTGATGTTGTTCTTGGGCAACTAGCAAGGCCCCAAAAGTTGTCCACAGCACATGGTTAGCAGTGGGTCTTTGACTAAAGCCCATATCTGCTGTCTTAGAGTCCAGGAGTCCTCCACTGTTTCCCAGGAAAAAGTTACCATGAAGTGAAGTGCTTTCCTGTCAAATGTGTCCTCCACACCAAGTAGCCATTTTGCCCTCTGGAGCTGCTTCCAGTTGTAATATTGACGCTTTAATTTGGTAGGTGTTTGTACAGAGCGGGGGCACCAACCAAATGGTTGGGCTTTGCAACTCATGTGAACACAGCGTCTCTTGTGTCTCAGGGACAGAATCAAGATCATCTTTAGAAAGTAAATGCAGCAAGAATGGCCAAGGAGGATCCTGAAGTAAATGCTAACATTGCACACAGTGTGCCTCCAGACATGCCTGGCTGAGGAGAGATATCTCTGTGATTAAGGCTATTTAAAAAAAAATAAAAAAATAAAATACTAGGCTATAAACTTTAAAAATACGCACATAGGGAAAAATAAAGAGCTACCAAAGATTTTCATGAACACTCATCTACACATTGAAATAAACATCAGAACCGGCACAGGATTGTTGAGCAATGAACACAGATAAGGAGGTTTTAGTTCTTTAAATCCCTTCAGTCTGAAGATTGTAAGCACTCTACCATTGTCAAGATCAGCATGGTATAATAATAGAAGCCACTGATGTGAATGCATTTGTAATTTAAATGTCCTAGTGGCCACATTAAAGAAGCAGGTGAAATCAATTTTCATAATATAGTTCATTTAATCCAACATATCTGAATGTTGTCATTTCAATGCGTAACCAATATAAAAATTACTAATGAGATATTTCACTCTTTTTTTTTCTTTTACTATCTTCAAAATCTGGTATGTATTTAATACATATAGCACATTTCAGTTTGGTCCAGCTACTTTACTAGAGCTCAAAAACCACATGTGGCCCATGGCTACCTTCTTGGACAGTGCAGGTATAAATGAAATCACTTATTTTCCTTAAGTTAACAAAGAAGGGTATGTGGAGAGAGGGTGGGTGTGGATTTCCCACAGATCTCATGGAGAACTGGAAGGCCAAGCAAGTAACTGACACCCTTCTGCTATGTGAACCATATCCCTTGGGCCCTTTTCCCCTCCGGTGTGCTCTCTGTCCCAGCCCCCATGCTCCTCTCTTTCTCATTGTCTAGCTGTAGACACGAATGCAGCGTAAACATCATGGAGTGTGAAGGGGAAAGAAGTGGGCTGGATTTCCCGCCTGTCCCTTGTAGACGGAAGACCTTAGGCAAGTTACTTAACCTCCTTGGTCTCACATTTCTTTTCTATGAAATAGGATTAATTCCTTCATCACTGAGTTCCGAGGATCAAATAAAATAAGAAATGTAAACTTGTCAGTCTCAAACAGACACTGTAGTTGTCAAGGTTTTAATGATTTTTTTTTTAAGATTTTATTATTTATTTATTTGAAAGAAAGCGCACGAGAGAGAGCATGAATGGGGGTGGGGGGAGGGGGGCAGAGGGAGAGAGAGAAGCAGACTCCCCACTGAGCAGGGAGCCAGATGTGCTCTATCCGAGGATTCTGGGATCATGATCTGAGCCGAAGACAGATGCTTAACTGACTGAGCCACCCAGGCACCCCAATGATTGTTTTCAAGATGTATAGATGTTCAGTAGAAAAGGTAACAAGGGAAAAGAGAAAAATTTTTTAAAAACATGTGCTAAATTCCAGGCCACACTGCTCTTTTTTCAGTACTTGATGCTTAAAACCTCTCTATGCTGCCAGCATAACTTCAGCCCAAAGCACACTGAGCTTAAGTTATACAGATATACCAAAAACATAAGAATTTTTTTAAAAAGTTTCTGTTTTTGCCTGAGTTTGCCCAATTACATGACCCAGATGATAAGGGGGAGACACCTCAATGAGCACCATGTGGGGTACACGCTGAATACAAAATGTCCAAGAAGGAAGGTTCATTTGGTCTGATGCATATGAGGGTGGCAAGAACTCCATCATCTAGAAAACACAATTTTTTCAGCCCCTGGAATTTCCCCAACTATAAAATCGTGCCCTTAGATCTCAGGGAGCTTTACCATACTTAAACCTCTGCAGATGCACCTGCCCACAGCCTCAGGTACTTTGAGAAGACTGTAATCACAAAAAAGGAAGACTCACCAGTTCATTCTCCTCTCCTTGGTTGAGCAAAGCCCGGTGGTCCTTACTTTTCTCTTCCATCTAAACCAGACTTCTTAGTGGTTTCCCTCCAGGATAATTCTTTGGGGAAAGTCAAAACCAGTTGGGGCTTATGTGAACTCAGAACAGTCACTACTTGTCACTGCTGTTCTTAGGTGCTTTTAAAATCTCTTAGAACATATCTCACCTATTAGGTTAACAAAGAAAAGAGAGGAAATACTCTCCTCGGCCACAGGATTGGTCTATTAATCTATCTTCTTGTGTTTCTTTTTTTTTTTTTCCCCTCCCTGGTGTTTATTTGGTGAGTTAGATGTGAACGCCTCTAGACTTAAGTTGTTAAACCAGAAAGACAAATAATTTCCTGTGCTGTCCATAAATGTCTCAGCTAATGAATAAGAATTGCCACTTTAATAAAAACCCAAGACGGGTACCTCGGTGACTCAGTCGGTTAAGCGACCAACTCTTGATTTTGGCTCAGGTCATGATCTCAGGGTCATGAGATTGAGCCATGTGTGGGGCTCCACACTCAGCGCAGAGTCTGCTTGTCCCTCCCCCTCTGCTCCTCCCCACACTCTCTCTCTCTCAAATAAATAAATAAAATCTTAAAAAAAAACAAAAAAACCCAACCCAAGACAAAAAGATTAACCAGTGAGAGAGGAATAAAAACCCTGTGGACTTTGGGAAAGTAATGGACATGTTGGGGTGACAGTGAGAATTTAAGGAAGGGGGGTTGGCTCATGACCGGGAATGTAGCAATCATTTTGGAATCAGAAAAACCTGAATTCTAATCCCTGCTCTACTAATGACCCTGGACAGATCACTTAAAATCTGAATTGTAGGTTTCTAATATGTAAAATATCAATAATAATTATAGAGTTGATATGAGAGTCTAAGATGATATTTGTAAAAAATCAACTATAGCACCTGTCACACTCAATAAAAGATAGATAATCATCACCACCATCATCGTAAACCTAATCGAAAGGATTAGGGAGTTTTTTAAAAAGGAAGTTTTTAAAAAAATAAACTAGAATAACAATAATTTGATTACTTTCACTTTCTCTTTTTAGTTTATAAAAAGTTTTCAGATAAGTATATAATGCAGGAGAAATGAGAAAAGCTGATTATTAGGGATATCATATAAATTTCCACTATTATACAATCACCAGTGAATTTGATATTTTTATCAAAAAAATACCCTGGGATCCATTCAAGTGCTGGTTTATTTGTTTCCAATAAAGGCTTTTATCTTTTTTTTCTTTTTATTGCGTCCAGCCCACTGAGCAAAATTCTTGCCACTTTCACCATGGAAGAAAACTTACTTGGAATTAAGACTACTGAGAATGATACTTGACTCTTTCTACTGAGAGGGAGAGTTATTGGTTGCCTTGAGGGGAAACTAGTGCTACTTTGACGTTTAGAAGAATCCAGTGTGCTCCCTGGTCCAGGAGGAAGTGGATGATGAAAGTAAACAGACAGTTTTTCATGCCAGAGAGGAGGCTACTGAGGTGCCCACACTAAAGAATACTATGTCATCACAAATGTTGCATTTTAAGTATCCGCAATCAAAGATAGAGCTCAAATTTGGAAAAAGGAGTCTTGAGTTTTATTAAAATCTAATTAAAGACTTGAGGAGAAGTGCTCATTCACTTCTTGCCCATCAACTATTCACTCATATTTCTGGCTAACAGAACATCTCTTTGTCTGGGCAGTCTGACTTCAGCTAAAACACCAGGATGAATCATGATTGACCTAAGAGTGGGCATGTGACCCAGTTTTCAACAATAAGATTCAAAGGAAGGACAATTCGGGGCAGAGGTTTTCTGGAAAAGATTATCCTATTTTTTAAAATTATCCTATTGATGAAAGAGAGAGAATAACTTATTTTCTACCCATGCCAATGATGTGGAGTAAGGGACAAAAGAGCTTAGATCCTTATGATACCACTAAGCCATGGCACTAAGCCTGGGACTACTAACTCTAGACATCTATCTAATACGTAATGAGATGTTCTTAATAAAACTGCTCCTGTTTGTGGTTTCTGCTACTTAAAGACCAAAGACACAAAATATAACACTCATCAAAACTTTGTTCAACATTTACTCAGCAATTACATGTTTAACAACAGATATTCCAGACACTTTGCTAGCCCCTTGGGATTCAGTGGCAAAAAGGAAAGTCATTACCCTGAGGGAATTTACAGTTGCATGGGAGAGTCAGGCAAGTAACAGCCTCTTAAATAGGAAGGATCTAGAACTCAGACTGAATGAGACAAGAACAGCTTCCTGAAGGAAATGACATCTATGCTGACATCTCAAAGATGAGCAGAAACTAACCAGGTGGAAGGAATGGAGGATAGTGGTGGGTTATGAACACAACTAGGCCAGAGAACAGAACAGAATTTGTGAAAAGGTTCAAGAGATATGAGAAAATATAGCTTGTATAGTGTATCAAGAGAAATCAAAGTAAGACTTGAGAATAGAGGGAAAGAAGGGAGGCACTGAGCAATGATGATGGAGATGTGAACAGAGGTGTGCCTGGCCACTAAGAGCTTGTACACCAGGCCAAACTGTTAGTCCATTCTTTGGGGGAGGGGGGTGTATTTTTTTTTTTTTCTGCTTTGTATGTGGATAGAGGGCTTTCTCTACTCACCGAGCCCAAGACCTTAGCTTCTTTCTATTGATGACCAATATTCTTTCAGTTAAATATGAACTCTTCTAATAATCACAGCTGTTCACAATGCCTCACAGGTAATGAGCTTTCCAACCCCAGAGGTGTGCCTGCTGACATTTGGCCTATTCACCATACAGACAATTAAGTTATTAGGTCAAAGTTTGTATTAGATAATCTTGAGGTTCTGTAAGTATGGAGCACTTGCTTCAGCCACCAGAGGATTTGCTCTGCAGAGAAAATAATAACGTCTGCTTTAATCCCTACCTCCTAGAGGATCTGCAACAGATATTAAAGGTCAAAGGATCTACTTTCAGATGTCGATAAGCAAGATAATGCCAGTCACACCCCCATGGCTTAGTCAGCCCCCTTCCACAGGTGGAAGACTCACCAATTGTGTTTATGTATATAGCAGGGGGGTGGGGATATAGGAGTGGGCGATGGGGAAACGATGAAAGGGTCTCTTGTGGGAGAAGCAGCCTCAACATTGGTGGGAATGGCTTCCTCTAGACTGCTCAGTCATAGCACTCAGGAGATTGTAACTTAAGTTGGGACTCTCCAGATCTTTTCTATCTGAAGAGACCAGATTCTTGATCTCCTGTGACTGAAAGCAAAACACAGTGCATCCTGGTGAACCCCGAAGGTAAACTCCTTATTAATGAGAAGAAGTTGTCAGCACCATATGCCATAAGGTAGGGTCTCCAGAGGCAGGAGGGGAGGAAGGAGCAGAATGAGGAAATGTAAAAGAAAAAGAGTGAAATGCTCACCTCACACAGGGGCCTGAAGAACTGATCCCCCCGCAGAACCCTAGTCTTAGACCTTACAAGGCCTTACTATTTAGACTGAAGAGTATCTCATCTCTTCCCCCAGTCCCTGACTCAAGACACAATTTCCAAAAAACAGGAAAGAAACATGGACATGAAAAGGTAGTATACTGCAATACAGGTCTACCTCAAGAAGAAAATTTCAAATACACAACCTAAGCCTATACCTTAAGGAGCTAGAAAATGAACAACAAATAAAGCCTAAAGCCAGCAGAAAAAGGGAAATAATAAAAATTAGGGCAGAAATAAATGATACAGAAACAAACAAACAAAAATCCTCAATAGAACAGATCAACAAAACTAAGAGCTAGGTCTTTTAAAATGACTAATAAGGAGTGCCTGAGTGGCTCAGTCGGTTAAGCGTCTGCCTTCAGCTCAGGTCATGATCCCAGGGTCCTGGGATCGAGTCCCACATCGGGCTCCTTGCTCAGCAAGGAGCCTGCTTCTCCCTCTGCCTGCCTCTGTCTCTCTCTCTGATAAAAAAATTTTAAAAAAAAAAAACTAAGAGCTAGGTCTTTGAAAGAATTAATAAGATTGATAAACCCCTAGCCAGACTTATCAAAAAGAAAAGATAAAGGACCCAAATAAATAAAATCACAAACAAAAGAGAAGAAATCACAACCAACACCACAGAAATACAAACAATTAAAAAAGAATACTATAAAAAATTGTATGCCAACAAACTGGACAATCTGGGAGAAATGGACAAATTCCTAGAAACATACAAACTACCAAAACTGGAGCAGGAAGAAAAAGAAAATTTGAACGAGCACAAAAATTGAATCAGTAATCAAAAATCTCCCAACAAACTGAAGTGCAGAGCCAGATGGCTTCCCAGGGGAATTCTACTAGACATTTAAAGAAGAGTTAATACTTATCCTCTCAAACTGCTCCAAAAATAGACATAGAAAGAAAACTTCCAAACTCATTCTATGAGGCCAGCATTACCTGGATTTCAAAACCAGACAAAGACGAACTAAAAAGGAGAATTACAGGCCAATATCCCTGATGAACATGGATGTAAAAATTCTCAACAAGATACTAGCAAATCTGAGGCACCTGGGAGGCTCAGTCAGTTAAGCATCTGCTTTTGGCTTAGGTCATGAACTCAGGGTCCTGGGATGGAGCCCCTGCTCAGTGAGGAGTCTGCTTGTCCCTCTCTCTCTGCCTCTCCCCCCTATTGGTGCACACTCTCTCTCTCTAAAATAAATAAATAAAATCTTAAAAAAAAAAAAGATACTAACAAATCCAATCCAACAGTACATTAAAAGAATTATTTGCCACAATCAAATGGGATTTATTCCTGAGCTGCAGGGGTGGTTCAGTATTCACAAATCAATTAACATGATACACTACATTAATAAAAGAACGGACAAGAACCATACAATCCTGTCAATAGATGCAGAAAAAGCCTTTGACAAAATATAGCATCCATTCTTGATAAAAATATGAAAAAGAAAAAAAAATATTATTTAATATATGGCTTTAAAATATGATAGGGGATGAATCAAGTCCTTCTTCTTTGTTTTCCCACTTTTAAAAATTGAC